CGCTAGGCAGCACAAAGCCCACCACAAAGACCTCGACACCATCAGCCATCAGTGCCAGACCAAGCACGAAATAGAGTGTCCACTGGAAGCGGCCATGGCCACACTCCCGTAGGATGGCTTCATACTGCTGAGCCAGTTCTTCCCGTTCTTTCCGCCGCTGTGCCTCCCCCCGGCCACCAGGGGGGCCCTCCCCATCGCCCAAGCCCCCCCTTACTCCAGCCAGGGGAGCCCCATCAGCCATCCGCTCGCCTTTGCCCCCAGACTCTGCCCTGGGGATGCCCTGATATTCCCCCTCGTAGATCTCGTCATCCTCGTCGTGGCCTTCAGTAGCATCACTAGATGCACCACCTTCTTCCTCATCCTGGGCTCCTTCCCCACGGTAATAGCCATCAGCAGGGGCAGGGTAGTCATCATCATCCTCCTCCTCCTCAAAGCGGGAGTAGGATCTGCGGGAATATTCGTCCTGGACTCTGTCCAGGCCCTTTACCACCTTCTTGGCCGCATGCTTCTTGACTTCCTTGGCAATGTCTTTGGCCCCACGGATGAAAGCTGCCCGGTCTCTGAAGCCTTCTTCCATGATGGGTCTTTGGGAATGCTTCACTAGACTCCTCCACTCCCTGCTCAAGGACTTGTGAAGTCAGAAAGATTCCTTCCCCCAGTTACTCAGATGAAGTGGATTCAAGTATCTCTGGGCACAGAATAGGAGCAAATAGGACCTGGCCAGTGAGTGTGTAGGAAGGGAAAGGAGGGAGAGGAGTTCTGGCCAGTTCAGTTGGATACATGGGGAAGGGAAAAGGGGAACAGCAGAATGGGAAGGGGAGGGGGAGCTAGGTTGTGCAAGCTAAGATGGGGAGCCAGGATAACTCAGGAAAGGCCGCCTACTTCTCTTCAAGAAGCCTCTTGAGATCTAGAAAATATAAGAGGGGGGGAAAAAAGGAGGTGGTGAGGCCTAAAATGGTAAAGAAAGCCAATACAGAGCCCCAACCAAGACCATGTGATACGGATGGTCTCCTTGCTTCAAGCCTGCACACAGTTAAAAAGGGATGCCTACCTGGGCCAGCTGTGGATCATTCAGTATAAATCCCCTCACTTTGACCTTGGAGATCAGGCCTATGAGATATGCTCCAGAGTCACGGTCACCTATCTAGAGCCCTCCTTCTGATCCCCTGCCCCACATCAAGATCAGACCCCTTGCTTTACCACCAAACTGCAAAGAACAAAACAGGAAATATGAGAAACCATAATTCTCTGGTTTAGTCTGGTCTGGCTTGCTTACTGGGGGAAGAGCTGGGGGGAGAATGCGTAAAAGGAGAATCAAGTCCTCCAGCCTGTGACTTCAATCCACTGATGGCATCTCAAATGGGGCTCTCGGGGTCCTCCCCTCAGGTTCCCACAAGGAAGGGTTTTCTCAGTGGGTGAAAATTCCCTTCCAGGGTCAGACAGACTTGGGTTTGACTTCTTGCTTCAGCACTTACTAGCTAAGTGACCTCGGCCATCTCCCCATACAGCCAGGCCTCAGTTTCTTCTTATTTAAGAAGGGGAAAGTAAGGATTAAATGACATAATGTGTATAACTCCTTACCATAGTACCTAGCACATAAAAAGCGATTAAGAAATGTTGGTTATTGCTCTTTGTGATGATGATAATACAGTGCGATCCCCTCTACTCCCTCACAAGACCCCAGAACAAAAGCCACGTCTGGATGCTTATGAGGATAAGGAGCAGAAAGGGATGCTGGCAAGGGAAAGCTGGTTCAGTGCAAAGCACATGACAGTTAGGTGACCTAAGTTAAAATCCCAGCTCTGTCACTTACTTGCTAACTGCTCTTGGGCAAATTATTTAATTTCCCTCAACCTCAGTGTCCTTATATTTAAACTGGGGGTAATAATCTTTAGTTTTCTGAGTCCACAAGAGAATCCAACCTCACAGTAGATATTCTATAAATTAGTTTCCTTCCCTCCTATTAGACTGAAAAAAATGTGAAAGAAACAGGAAGCAGCAAGGGAAGAGTAGGGGTCATACTTGGATGCTGTTGTCCAGTATCCTCCCAAAACAGAGTCCCAAGACCTCTCTGTGTTCAAATTAGTTCCAGCAGATGGGCCCACATCGTCTCCCTCCAGACAAAGAAGGGAAGACTCAAAAAAAGGGAAACCTGGAACCTGAGGTCATGGAGAAGAGGTGATGTCTGGCTCCTGCCACCTTCCTTCAGGACATCATCCATGAGCCCCTTCCCTGGTGGGGGCAGGAACAGAAATGGCTGATCAAATACATACTTTTTCAGCATTGGGGGCTAAGATCTATAGCTACACCTCCTTTCTCCAGGGCCTTCTTTCCTAATCCCCCTTAATCCTTTCTGCTCCTCCTCCAGGAGTCAAGGAAAAAGGAGTCCACAAATACCGCACTGCGTAGGAGGCCAGTATAGAATGAAGGGGCCTTGGGCCTCCCCCCCAAAAAAGACATCCTCCAGAGGGAAACATAGAACACCCCCCACCCCTTCATTCAGAGAAGCAGAAGAAGTAGGACTAGATTCTGATCAGAGATCATTCCCCTAAAAATATCCTGCCTCCTGTTCCCACCCATCCAGGGCCTTCATTAAATGTCACACGCACACACGGTAGCCCTGGTAGAAGGGGATAAGTAATGCTACATGGCTCAGAGAGAAGCACTGGCAAGCATAGCCTTAGCCCCTCAGGCCAGATGTAAGCAGTGGACCACAATGACCCAAACCAGTGACCCCTGTGTCACCTTCTTTTCTTTATGGTTCAAGGCCCAAACCCACCCCCATGCAAGAGAGGAAAGTGGAATCCCCCCACTGCATGGCCATTTGCTTTCCTCTCCTTTCCTTCCCATCTAGGATCTCCCCCCGGCTCCCCAAATCCTGAAGGAGACAAATAGACCCATCAGGAACCACATCCTGTGTTTATCAACACTGTTTACCCCTGAGAGGTGCATGGAGGGTAGATAAGGCTCCCAGAGCCACAGCAGGATAGGATGTCTTAACAGCCAGCTCCCCCAGGGCCAATGAGCCAGGAGGTCAGAAGGGAGAGAAAGAAGACAAATTCTTTGAGTTGGTGAGGAAGTGGTGCTATTTTTAGCCCCCAAAGCAGCACAGGGTGGCTAAGCCTGTGGGAGAGAGATGGGGCTTGGAGAGGTGGAGGTTATAGGAGACAAGACTCCGGGTTACACGGCCCTTTAAGGTTGGCCGGCTCCACCTGACCGGAAAAATGTGCCAGGGAGATTTTCCTGCAGAAGGGGGGGAGGGGCTCCTGAGCAGATGCTTCCCTTCAGGAGGACTCACTCTGCCCTGGATTATAGGAGGGTCCAGAAGCCCCTACCCCCAATCAAAGTCCCTGACTTTGGGGGTCACCCGGATTCCCCAACCCTCCCTAGCCCAGGTGGCAAGGTCATTAAGAAGCAGTCACTTGTCAAAACAACCACGGAGAGGGGGGAGGGTAACAGGAAGCGGGGTGTGCTGGAGCACCGCTCCCTGTGACAGCTGGGTGACTGAGCCTCAGCCCCCCACCCAGGACGCCCAAGGCTGCACCTCTCCTCCCTACATCCTACCGCAAGGGTTAGGAAGATGAAGCATTCACAGTTCGGAGGGGGAAAAAGGTGTCAGCTGAAAATGCACACAACAGAGGAACACAGGGGCAGGGAGACAGGGAGAGACCTCCACAAGCAAAGGCAAGAGACCGCCCCTACCAGCATTTGCCGCGACAGCCCCCAGCATCCCCCACCCCGTCTCGCCTCTGCTCTGGCAT